CGCAGACAGTCACGCTTCAACTTGTAGTAATTTTGATTCTGGAAAAAATGGACCCGCTCTGGCATGCTGAGCAGGAAGAATCCAGAAGTCAGACGCGTCAGCTTATGCTGCTCGATACGAGGACCATTCAGAGCGTAGTGTTCAACACCACAAAGCCAGTTAAGGAAAGCGTCGGCTAAGGTGTTTGCTAAAAAAATGTCTGGTCTGTATGTTTTTCATCTATCCATCCAGTCTTCTTCCATACCCGCCTTCCATATTTAGTACAGGAGTCTATGCTTAGAACAGCATGCCGCTCTCATTTAATTGCTGTTATCTGATAATTCATCCATCCATCTTCCAACCCACAGCTATTTTTACTGGTCCGCGTGATCAATAAAATGATAAATAATAATAATAAAAAGTTTTCTGGTCACATGTATAAAGATAAGCAAACTTTTTTGTCAAGATTTTTGAATTAGTAATAAATATATAAATGAAATTAAACCTGAACAATGCACTGGTTCTAATGAGTTTTGCAAGAAGTTTTTTTTTTAAAAAAAGGGTAAAATCAAAACCAAACAAGTCTTTTACTGTAGCTCTCATGCGACATGAAAATGATCATGAAAATGGCACATTTTTGCAAAAATGTGGACTGTCTACAAATGAGCAAAAACATAGACCATTAGGGGTTCCAGAGGGCTGGGTCGAGAAGCACTGGTTTAAAGATTCCAGTTAGTTTGACTGCATGGCTCTGGGCTGCAGGAGTACTCAGAAGACACCAGTACAACACGGAGAGAACATTCAAACTCCACACACACACACACACACACACACACACAGCAGAGGTGGGATTGAAACCCACAATCCTGTAGGTGTGAGGCACCATGTCGCCCCCTGCTGGTTCATTATTATTTTTAAAACCACAAATGAAAACTTGACAAACCCGCTGGACAACTTGTCGAATTTAAGGTAGTCTGGGCTAAATCTAATTGAACAAAAAATAAAGTCCATTTAAACTGGGGTACCTTAAATCTGACAAGTTATCCAGCTTCGTGATACAGGCTCCTGGTCCTGTTAATAATCCAAGGTTTGACTGACACTGTATACATGTACGCTGCTTTCTGGGAAAAGTGCCAAAGGATTCCAGGTAGCTGCTGAGTCTCCAGCAGACGCGGAGCCGAGCCCAGTGGGTTCAGGTCAGTGCTACAGACCATGATTTGGTTCGGCACAGGACCCTCACTCTAAGGAAGCTTTACAGTCAGGGATTCATCCCAGAAGCGTGTGTTTAACCAACGGGAACTTCAACCAGCATGTGAGGACCATATGAAACTAAGCCACAGCCTTAGAAACCTTCGCTGAAATTCACCCTCCGCTGTGAACTGGCACAAATCCAGGGCACAGATGCGAGCAGCAAAGACTGCCACTCATCGCTTCCACCAAGACCCCTGTGTTTTCAATAAATTCTCCTTGGGGTAAAAGCTTTAAGTCAGAAACACCAGAGACGCTTCCCCCTAAACTCCTGCAGGTCCTCAGATTCCACAGCCAAACTCATACAGGTTTATTGAAGCAATATGCTTCACATATAATCTGAGGTTCTACTTTTGTGTTTGTCATCTGTATGTACTACGTGTTCGTGCTATAAAAGCTGCCTTTAAGTTTAAAAATAATACTGCAGCATTCTTTATTTTTATCCAGTAACCAAATGATCCACCCAGGCTTCATTCTATGAATAGCAGCTATTTTTCCAGTCTGTTATAGGACAATCAGTAGAATCCAGAGCCCTAGACTAGACATAAGGAAAGCGCATGATTTTATTTCGATTAAATGCAGGAATCGAGAGTCTGGCACAGTGCCAGGCAGAGACTTGAGTCTCAGTGCGTGGAGGGAGGGTGTGACGTCTAGACAAACGTGCGGGACTGTTTCATCGCTCCCCAAATTCCGTGGGGGCAATAGACGGCTACCGCGGCGCGCTGCTTCTCTAAATATCTCCTACTATTTATCGAATCAACGGCCAGCTCTCAGATAACGAAAATATAATAATATACAATGTTACACTTCTACACTGAATGAAAAGCACGTTTAGTTTGAACTAGCATTTACAACTTAAAGATTAACTTGCAGAACACATATATATATTTACTAGACCTATATATATATTTACTGGATGGGAAAATGATGGATGTATTATGTGAGCTATATATGTGGACTGTAATGTGTAAAGATACATTTATAAATAAAGATTAAGTACTGCTGAATCCAAGATGACGGTATCCATAACGCGTTTACTCCCGACAAATTGAGTCTTTTGGGTTCTTGATTACCAGTTTTCAGTTGTATTTCAGCGCATGGATAGACGAGTCTGCAAGCTCACATAGCTAAATGTATGTACCTTTCCCGTCTTTTGTATCATTTACTACTGTTACCAGCTCCGCAGCGAAAAGAAAATCTCAATTAAATTTAGAATAATGGGAAACTTTGGGAAACACTTATGGTTTGTATTTACCTGCACCAGACCTATGATCAATTACTATTATTATTGTTATTATTAATAATAAACACTTCCGTTTTCTTTATTTACATAGGCAGGCAAGGGATTTAACGTAAAGTTTATACATACGTAATATGTTTCACTGCCGGGGAGTCAGTGAATAAAAAGTACAGGGTCTTAAAACAGCTTCTCCTACTCCACTTTTCCGCTGAACACACCCATCAGACACTATAAAAAGAAATTACATACTGATCGATCCTCTGATACATTTGAGGAATATTACATGCATTCAAATGTTTTTCTTATTCTTGCTGATTTTCTGTGAGATTTGACATCAGGCATCCTGTGAGACGTTCAGTGTTCACCTGCTCCGCCGGAAGAGGAGTCCCTTTTCCAAAGTGGGGATCTAGCGGAATTCCCGGAGCTTCCCCATGGATGCTGTCAGGTTCCCTGATCCAGGCCAGTACTCCGCGTATTTTCCCGTGCGTTTCCCAGCTGACTGGGACGCCGCTTTCACAAACTTGTGTGGGTGGCAGAACCTAGACAGCTTAAACCTAGACTGGCCGATCAGAAAGATCAGAAAGAATCAGACTTATCTGTATTTGATTGTGTAACAATATACTAGTTTCTATACAGCGCATTTTCTTTGCCCCTGTGCATGTTGGCCCCGTTCCCATCGTTCTGTGGTTTAATGTCGGCAGCCTTCCGTGCGCGTGTGTATGTGTGTGCGCGTGTGATCCCTGCCGTATATCCATGCAGGTGGAGTTATATGTCAGTGTAACATCAGTAGATCGTCATACCTGCACTCAGGTGTAATATAAGCCCCCTCCCCAAAAGAGACAATAGACCAGCGCCACTCACCCTTTTGGGGCCGACGAGGAAGGCGGGCTACCCTATCTTGTTAAGGGCTGCCACACTCAAGTTAATGTAAATCCATAAATACACTTTAGCACTCCTTGAATCATTTGTCAGCTATGCTGCACGTATGCCAGGATTCACAAAAAAAGTAAAATTGTCCCTGACTTGCACTTAACTGAGCTGGGCCTGTCTGAAGAAATTGCCCCCCCCCTCGTATGCCTCTCTGTTTGCTGTGTATTTTGCTCTTCTTACCCTCTCATTGCTGGTGTATTCAGCCTTGTCCGCTCCCTGACCTCAGTCCCCCCGTCCGTGGGCTGGACCCTGTTTCCTGGTCCAACAAGTCGTCCCCACCCTCTTTTTTGGCCATGGGACATACTCCTCTATCTGCTACGGCGTTCCCCTCCTCCCCCAACATCACCCGTTTGGCGGATCTGTTGTCACTGAGCGTGTCACTGACACCCAAGTCCCTCAGTGGGCCATTCCAGCCCTCTCCTTAACCCCTTCACTGCCAACCTGCTGGCAATTACTCCTGCCAATTTTATTCTTGGCAAAGTGGGCAACATCATTCTATATTAAGAGAAAAACTTGTTGATACTGATGTCACCTAGATAAGAACATTCCAGGAACCTGGAAATATCTGAATCTCCTTCCAGACCTGTAAACAAAGAGTGGCTTGAAATGAATGATTTTCTCGATAAATGTGCAAATGTTTCAGAAATTGCTGGGTTTGCGTATTCGGGTCACAGTGAAGATAAATTAGAAGCACCCAGGTTTTTGGCCGCTGAGGTATGAAGCGTCTCCTTTGACCCGGAGTCCCCCCCACCTGACCCCCCCCTATCCGTACATCTCACGCTTGCTTATCACCTTCCCCTCTCGCATGACTTCCTTTGTGCGGCTGGGTTTTGTCATTCAGGGCCACTGCGCTTCGACAGAGTGGCAGCATACGCACCGTGCGCACTCACTGGAGCAGGGGCGGCCCGAGGGACAGCGGCTTTGTAAAGGCAGTCACACACGTGAGGATCAACGCTAAGGCAGCTGTCTCAGATCCTGGGCATCTTAGAATAGTCAGCTTTTAATGGCAACTTGAAATTTGGTGTAAGTTCCTGATGGGTATTAATACAGTTTCCAGCAAACACGCCAAATTCACCTTCCATTCCTGCATTTCTGGTATGGGCCCACTGTGAGCTTGGAGTGTATACTGGCAAAGACTCCTAGCAGAACCGAGATGGAATGCCGGTCCACACACTGACTGCTGAGATACTGATTCTCCTTAACAGCGCGTTTCTGGACCATATGGGGAAAGCAGCACATAGAGATAGAGAAGAGGGGACTTAAGCAAGTTGGGAAGAGAATGTCTCCCTCAATGAAGTATTTTCAACATACAAAACCAGGACTGGGAACCGAACAAAGAACCCTGGACAAATTTACATGTTATTTACTTAGCAGATAAAAGCCACATACTTTTTTTCTTGTGAAAGCAGGGTCAGACAGGGTCAAACATAAATAAACTGATGTTGGCATAAAGAGTGTTTGGTTGATTAACCTAAGACATTAAGTAGATGTCTTTGAGTTTCACGCTTGCTTCAGAGAGGATTAAAAAATACATATGACCAATAGGCATTGGTTTAACCATGATTAATGATTTATCTTCTCTTCCTGCAGTAAAAACAGCAAATAACACCATACAAAAATCAGCTTTATTTGAGAATATAAAAAAAAAAAAAATCAACAAAAACACTGTCAGAGCTAGAGGAGGGGCCACATGCCTGTGGGCGTGGCTTACAGAGAGAGAAGGGGTATGAACCCACCCTGTACCGTATTGCCATACCACTCTCCCTTGAATTGTCCTTCATGGCTCCTCAGTGTCCTGCACTCTCCAGCTCTCCTCATCGCTTTCTCCACTCTCCCCCTCCTTAGGTCCTCCTTAAAGTCAGCTCCTCCGACACTCTGGGCACTCCTTACGCTTTTTAATATAAACCCATTCTTTAAAAGTCTCATTGCTGTGTCCACACCCCCCCCCCCCCCACCCCGTTCCATAAAACTCCAGCTCCGAAGTCGTCTCTGACCTAAGGAGTCTCGGATTTGCAGTTTCCTTCATCGGCTTCAGGATGGTGTCGCTCTACTTCTCCCCCCACTCCCCATCCCCCAGGAAGGTGCCCCCAGTCAGTGGCCGCTAGCCCCTGGGGAATCTGAGCGGTCCGTTTTAGAGGAGGAGTCAAGCACAGGGGCGGGGCCTGAGGAGGCAGGCAAGGGTGATGTCAGGCTGGCGCCCTTGGTCTCTGACGCAGCCGACGGCAGAGACACCACGATGTATTTCTGAACGGGCCGGGACCCCCCCGCCCCCGTGGCCGCCGCCCCAGCACTGGCACCCCCATGCTCCAACTTCACCAGGGGCTGCATGGTGGAGGCGGAGCTGGGGGCGGGGCTTGTGATGGGGGAGGTAGAACGGGCAGAGCTCAGTGTAATCACCTGTGGAAGGAAACAGAGATCGCGATGGAGGATATTTCAGGGAGAATTCCACTGAGATTTTCATGTCGTTTTTTTTGCCGTCATTCCACTAAAAGAAGCAAAATGTAGCTAAAACTGCAAGTGAAAAGCTGCCCACACTGAGCAGAGGAGTGTCAATGTTTCACTCTTCACCATCTACAGAAGACATTTTTTTTTCCTAAGCGGTGAAATCAGCCTCCCAGTGTGCCTTGTGGTTACGATTTTCATAGCACCATAGACTCATGGGAAACCGATCAACAGAAATCAAAAGGAACAGAGGTACCCCCCATTTAAACAAGTTAAAGCAATAATTCCGAAAAAAAGAAAATAAAAATGCGTTCCTGTATCCCTGGCAATGCGCTATGAATACCTGCTGCGTTGTGGCCGCTGCGGCGCTCGTGGACATGACGATGTACTTGGTTGCCGGGGGTGACGGCTGGGTGGGGGTCACCGGCCGGGCCGACACCAGGGTTTGGACCGGCAGGGTGAGCGAGCTGGGCACCTTGATGATGTTGGGGGTGCGGGGTCCAGACACACCCGAGACGCCACCCTGTGACAGAGTGAGGGTGGGACGGGGCTGGGGGAGGGGGAGGGGGGGCGGCATCATACTACGGCTCATCTGCAACCCACTTTTGTAAAGCTAAGTGAACTTAAGCAAGTAACTAATAAATAGCACAATGAAATACGCTGTGGATTCTAGGGTCTCCCCTGCAAATCCTGTCTGTTCTGAGAGAAGCTGTTGTGTTTTTTATGCAGAAGTCAAAGAAAATATTGTTTATTCTTTCATGTTGGTGTAAAACTATGACATTTATGTCTATCAAAGTGTGTTAGCTTAGCCATTTCAGGATTTATAGCAACCATCCAATGTATCCCAGCAGGCCTATTTGTTGACTGGCTAATCAATACCCTATCAAGTTAACTAATTAAGTTAATTAATTAACAGTGAAATTTAACAAGCATTTGGAGAGGCTGAGGTGCCCCGGAGGAGAGGTTTGGGAACTGAAGTGCTGCTCATCTAGCCGTCCAACTAGGTATCAGTAACTTTCTGAAGAACAGAAATATGTAATACTGCTCATTTGCACATATTCTAGTGTTTCTTTTCCACACTTACTACCCAGATAAGTAGCTCTGAACGTTTCCTTTCATGGCCTGAGACTCTTGCTCAGTGCTGCACTAGTGGCAGCAGGTGACGGGGCAGGACGGGACCCCCACCTGTGTGATGGTCAGGGTGGTCCGGTTGACTTGCTGGGCTTGCAGGGCTGCTTGGGCCCGGGCCTTCACCACGTGTGAGCACAGCATGGGTCCCAGGTAACCGTAGTCCGTGCGGTACTGATCCGAATTGTCGGGGAGCGGCCGGGTCTTGGCGATCACGCTGGCGCAATGTTTCTGCGGGGGCGACAGACACAGAGTGGGTCCATCTCTCGTCGCGGCGCCGTGCTCCGCCGGGACCGAAATGCGGCCGCGTGCTCGCACGCGCTCACCAGCAGGAGGCTCTGCACGTGGTCGGCCCCAATCTTGTCGATGTTGGAGACCACCGGCCCCTCGCTGACCGCCTTGATGCGGCTTCCTTCCACAGACAGCCGAGGAATGATCAGCGTTTTGATGACCTGATCCGTGGGAAAGCAGGACGGGTCAGTACACCTTAAAGGGGGGGGGGGAGGGGATACCAGAAAGCAGGACGGGCCGGGAAGGGGGGAGTGGGGGAGGCACTAACATCAGGGCCGAGCTCGGCCAGTCCCGCGATGCAGCCGTAGCGTGTGGTCCACTGGGTCTTCTCGTCCAGGAGGCTCTGAAGTGCACAGACAGGAAATGTATGTATCGCATCGCTCCCAACGTTCAGCCCAGGCAAGAATCTGTCTCTGCACCTCCATAGTCCACTGAGGGACCATTGAGGACGTTGATGATAACATCCAACTTTCTATTCACTTCAAAAACCTTCTCTGTTCTTTGCTAACCTCACCACTCCCTGTATGTCTGTGTCACTCCATTCCTTAATATCATCTATCCATCTCCTCGCTGGTCATCCTCTACACTAACTAACATTACCCACTTAATCAGACTATCATCTCTCATTCAATCCCAGTTTCCTTTCTCTTACTTAAAAGGTCTGTTGGTCGTCTGATTCGCTGCCCAGGAATTAATCTTACTGTCTTTCGTCTTCCCAGGCTGGTACCAGGCAACAATCAGAGACTGCAAATAACTGGAAGCTAATTGGCTAACTAATGCAATAGGTGTATTTAAGTCCATCACAGATAGGGGGCACTATATTTCATTAGCAATAGAGTCGTCCCTCGACCCTTCGCGCTTCGACTTTCGCGGCTTCACTCTATCGCGGTTTTTTGTCTATTGATTAAAAGGTTGATCATGTACAATAATAACAGTATGATATTTATAACGTCTAATATTTCTTATTTTCTATTATTTTTTCTAATATTTTGGGTAATACGAGTGTAATTGTCATGACCTGCCTGTCCGATCCTCTTGTACATGTGTGCCACGCCCCCTTATTAACCACATATGCAACCCCGATTGTGACCAGCTGCTTTGTCAATTTGATTCAGTTTGAAGTCCACGTCAGTGTCTATAACCCCAGGTCTGTCATTGACGTTTTGATGTTACATGTTCCTGTGTGCTGCATTTGGAGTGATTCCAAATAAACCCTTCAGTCCTGATTCCTCGTCTCCCCGCGGAATTCGCGGATTTCGCCTATTGCGGGTTATTTTTCGAACGTAACTCCGGCAATTAACGAGGGACCACTGTATTTGAAAAGTTACCGTAGTACCTTTCCAAGAGGAGGGCAGTATATTCCATCATGGCAAGCTGAAGGTCTGTTTAAAGGCGATGGTCTTAAAGGGGTCAGGCTCCCTCACTCACCTTGGTGAAGGTCTTGGTGATGCGCGACTGGATGTTGTTGTTGGTGGTGCTGAAGGTCTTGCAGCTCTGGGCCATCAGGCGAGCGGCGAAGTCACGCAGGGCCCAGTGGTTGTCCATGTCAGGCCGGAGGCACAGCTGCTTGCTGACGATGCAGGTCACTACTGCTGGGATCAGCTCGTGGAGCTGGGGGGGGCGGGCAGGGATAGGGACAAGCCAATCAGTCAAAATCTGATAGACGGGTGAACAAAGCAAGACTGCTGCTCATCACCAGGGCTCATCAGGTACAGAAGACTAGTAGCTATGTCTCTGCTGAAGGCCTTAGCTAAGGATGAGAGCTGAAAGCACTCCCTGAACGTGCTCACTGAACACTTCTGTAGTCACGGTGATGGTGATGCTTCATAAACTCACATATTTCTCCAGGTACAGAGTGGGGTTGTCCATGAGGGCTTTGACCATCCTCATCAGGTAGATCAGCAGAGCCAGGTTGTTCTGGACCACGTTGACACGCACCTGCAGAGCCGGGAGGGTGGGGAGGGCGGCATTTACTGACATGCATGAGGAACTCTTCACAGCAGAATCGCAACCACGAGAAGACAAGGTGAAAATGGTCTATATACATGGGATCTCCATGCACTGCTCCGCAGGATCCAAATAAACGTTTCAAGGATCACATCTGAGCATATCAGCCGTCATAAATAAGCTCTTCCCTTGTTGACCATGCAGATGTGGCCCAAACTCAAACAAGATGAATGACATGGATCCTCAACCAGAGGTGTGTGTTTGAGAACGAGATAGAGAGGAATGGACCGACAGCGGCAGCACGCGGCAGCACGTGGCCACGAAGACGACCCAGCTCACCCCTTCCGAGATGAAGGTGCTGAATCGCGGCAGCATCTGGTACAGCCCGGGGTCTGTGGCGATGCTCTGTAGTGCCTCCTGGGGGAAGTGCATGGAACAGCGGCACAGCAGTTATTGTGATGTCGAAATCTCAGCACATCCCGTTAATGGCCGTTTCCTAATTTGTCGTTTACTTAAATAAAAAGAGACGGGGTTTAAAAATACAATAAAAACGCACGGCTGTTACTTTTTAAATGAATCCCAGTCTCACACAAACAGAAGTAGAAAGAAGTCATTTTGGGACATGTTTTACATTTCTTAATAAAAACAGCTTAAAGGAGCTGTTTGTGGGAATGTCCATTTAAGTCTCAATTTCAGAATAAGAAGAGACACACGCAGCCCCGCCCCTCGGACTCACCGCCCTCTTGGCCTCGCAGGACCCCACACAGGCCTCTGTAATCTCCTTGTAATACAGCTGCTGTTCCACTGACAGCTCATGTGTGCTGCGAGCCTTCATCCGCACCACACACTTCTCCTTGCCTGAAGGTGAGGGGTCACAGGGGTCACCACGCCCATCAAGATATAGCGGAATCCTGTCACCTCGTCACCGTGGCACTCACCACCGCTACCGTATATCCCCATTTTTGTAATCCGCATCAGTTTGCGATATTTAAATATCCCAAGGTTAACTCCTGGGCAGCGAATCAGACGACCAACAGACCTTTATTTTCAGCATTGGCTGCCCCTTGACCTTTGCCCTGGATAGGCCCCTCCTCTTCCTGTCCCGGCTTGACGGCTTTTAGGGGCTCAGTGGACTCGGTTTTCTGCTGCTCTTTGGAAACTGGGAGACGGGAAAGAAGAAACGGTAACAGGAGGCAGAGGTTCATCGGGGGCAGGCAACCTAATCTGTCAGATATGCACCAACAGAACTGAGGAACATTAATCGATGATGAACAGAATGAGAGAGACAGGCAGGATGGTTAAAAAACAGATTGTTTGTGGCTTGAACAGAGGCTAAAAGAAAAGGAATAACGAGAGAAAATGGAGAGCCAGAGAGGTTGTGCTCAGGGTCTGGGAGAGAGAGAGAGACGGGGACAGTCTCTTACTTGGGGGCGGGTTCTCTGGTATTGCAGGCTGGACGCCTTCGATGCTTAGCCAGTGTGCTGGAAAAGCAGCCAAATGACACATCAGAAAGATGCAGCCCCAAGCTAACATGAAGGCTAACAGCATAATGCATATTCTGCTAAATAGATAATAATATAACTGATACTGTGTCCTGCAGAAAGATACTCATTGTTAATGATGTATTGTAGTCTCTAAAAAAAATAGGTATATGTGATAGTTATGCAAAGTCACACTGGACAACTTGGCATAATAATAATTATAATAAATGCAAGGCAGACAGCCCGAGGCATAATTGAGGGCGGTAACCACGGTAACGACAGCTCGGTCCCCGTTACCCTTAAGCGAGACGTCGAGCGGCACTCGCGGGAGCGGCGTGTTGATGATGTCGCTCAAGTCCACCTCCTTCTCCTCGTAGAAGTGCAGCTCCCTGCCTCCGCCGCTAGCGAAGCGGAACGGGATAAACTCCTGCGACTGGAAACCGTAGAGAGGCTGCGGGGGGGGACATCGGGGTCAGCATGGACTAAGAGGGGTCCCGGGACACCGTTCCTTAAGGAGGCTCCCCCTCTCCTACCTCAACGTTTTTCAGCTTCAGGGCGTAGTCGATGTCACTGGTCATCAGCTTGCGCCTCTTCCCGTGGTGCATGAACTTCAGCGCATCCTGGTCAACAAAAACACGCGCCTTTCAGGGATGTGGTCATCTCCAAACACAGGTAAGCTCAGGCACAGACCTACCTCTGTGCCACACACACACAGACCTGGGAGCAACTTATTTACATTCTTTCACTATGAACGACTTGCTACACATCATGGCTCCATTAATTATCCTGATTGATTTGTCAATTTAATTATAATAGGCTAAAGTTATTCAAAACGAATATTTTGGTTTCTGGGTAACCACGCATGTATTATATTCTGTCAAATCAATTCTTATAAGAAGGTTGTTCATTGACACATTTGGTAACCAACAGCACCAGGCTTGCTGGCTCCCCGTACCTGCGCGATCTCCTTGATGCGGTAGCTGACCTCCTCGCTCAGGGCCACGCAGCTCTCCTCCTGCAGCTGCCCCACCCCCATCGACTCGGCGATTGCCTTCATGGATTCGGTGGGCAAGATCACGCTGCATGGCTTCGGTCTCCGCTCCTCTGCCATGCCTGGGGTCGGGGGTAGGTAGGGTTGGGCACGGTAGACTGGTAGGAAGAGAGGGACAGGACGAGTGAAGGTACTTTACATCCACCACTCACCACACTCAGTTCATTTTGACTTCTCTCTGTTACTGTTACAGCAACACGAAGAGAACAACTTTATATAAGAAGTATATGAAGAACGCAGAATCGTAAGGTAGGGAGTAATATGCAGATCCCAAGAGGTTTTGACATACAGATGACAGCGAAATGTACCCGCAAAAAAGCCAACGACCCTCCCCTTTCATTTGAAATCGTGCGCAAACCGAGGAACGTTTTTAGATGATCAAATAGTAAAGGTGATAACTCCAGATTAAATTATGCCATATAAATGCACACAATCGCCATTTCAAATACTATAGTATACAAAAGCTTCTTTTCAAAAGAAGAGTGAAACTACACACGCGCCTTCAGTTGAGTTTAATCACGAAAATCAGGTATTACCTGAGGCAACTGTTTTAGTTTAATTTTTCAACATATGAAGAAAACTCAAACGTTGCGATTATAGTAGGGCAATCGATCCCTTGCAGTAAACAAGGGTAAAGGCTTGCTAACCCACACAGCTAACGTGCACCGTTAACGAGCTGCTCCTACCTTTAGAGTAAGACTAAAGAAAAAGTGGGAAAACGACCCGAATAATTCGGTGAGCTAAAACAGAGTTACGGACGCCGTTCAAGCAATCTGTATTATTTCATAAAGCTTATACAGTTACGTTGCTCGTAAACAACTGCTCCATTGTTATTATTAATATCATGACTATTTCTGTTCCGATCCTTTTTTCTGAAATTCCGCCATATTGATTCCGGTATGAAAACCGCGTCTAGGTCCTGAAATATAGGAATTAGACATACTATAATAATACATTTGTCCTTATATATAATATAAAATTACATTATATAATAACGGATACGAAATATATTATATATGTACACGTTTCAATATGTATTATTTAACCTATTCTGTTTTTTGTATAGCTTGTATTATTTTTAAACATCTTCTAGGACAAGTTGAATGTTTTCGACTATCGGTTGAGCAACCTTGACTTAAGATGGTTGAGGTATGTAAATCTGCGCATGCGTGAATCTCCAGTTGAAGTAGGTGAAGTAGGCATGCCGATGTGGCGTTGCAACTGGTGAGAAGCCAGTAATATAAAATTATATGATGGGCATTTTATTGTTCATGCTTTTCTTTGCCGGTAGTTTTGTCCAGGCAGATGAAGACGAAAGGTTGCCAAATAAATGTGAAGGTCAGAGTTTGGCTTTTCTTTTTATGGTCTTATTTCCTAGTATTGGAATCTAAGGTATATGTATTGTATTCATTCCCTTGGTTTTTCTCAAGTCGTTATATGTGTGTGCTAAGTACCGTACGGGTGTAAATCCTTGGTGATTTGTGCTTTTTTGTGTCATGTATTGATATATATTTTTAAATCTATGCTGTTTATGTTGTGTTTTTCCCCTTAGTATGTAAATTCCTAACGGTGGAGCTTCAGGGAGCCCTGGACAAAAGTGGGAGGTCTAAGGAAGTTTTGGAAGTGGGGGAGGTGTTAGACACTGGTAAACGCAAGCGCAAGATCAAGTACAACACTTCGTAAGTATGATGGAGATAATGATAGTGGCACGAATCGTAAGAGTACGAAGAAACGTTATGTTCTCTCTGGTGTGTGTTTGTAGGGAAACGCGACTTACAGAAGCTATGGACAACATCTGTGAAAGAATCCTTCAGTACAGCGTTCATGCAGAGAGACCTGGAAGTCTCCGATATGCAAAGGTTTTTTTTTTCTTCTAAATCACTCCTAATTAAGATTGATTCTTACTGATTAGATTACTATGATAATTAATAAGTTCCAGTGGTTATGGACGTGTTTTGTATGGCAAATGCTAGATCTGTAAATAAAACAGTTCTTTCCTGAGAGTATAATATTCCATTTTATTCAAAGTGCATCCTTTGGGTCTCCTGGTCTTAATTTTGCTCCATCACAGGGTGCAAGTCAGACCATGACCACCTTGAAGAACTTGGTGAACAAGGGGGTGAAGGTGGAGCTTGGTTTACCGTATGAGCTGTGGGACGAACCGTCTGTGGAGGTGGCAGATATGAAGAAACAGGTACCTACCTGCTCTCAGATGCTAAAGCGTGTAACCAGCCCTTGAATGCTGATTGGGGGAGTGGGGGGTAACTTCAGGTTTCTGTAAGTATAATGTTACATTATACTTAAGGTTTCTGTAAGTATATATATAACATTATATATCAATGGTTTAAGTAAAATCTTAATCTGTAACCTGATTGAGGAAAATGTTGTAAAACCAGGCACCGGATCTCTGAGGGGTGAGATGTAGGGTAGTTTTCATGTTTTTCAATGCTTGATATGTCAAATAATCAGATTTATGGCCAGAATGTGATCTGTGGGGGAAGACCCAAGTGCTGGCAATGCAGGGTCTGGTGTGTGAACTTGAATGAAACACTAGGGATCACTGTTTCAGTGTGAGATCATGCTGGAGGAGTATGAGGAAGTGGTGGAGGACTGGTATTTCCATCACCAGGGGCAGAAGTTGGAGATGTTCCTCTGTGGCACCCATGTACTGAAGGACTCTGACCAGGGTGAGGAAGACCAGTTAGTTCTTAATCCACTCTGCATGCTTGCTTGTAAATGCATTTCAGTTATTAAAATATGGCATTATCATAATGGTAAATCTTTATACACTGTCTGGCCAAAAAAAGTCACTGTTTGAATTAAAATCATGAAGTACTTAAGAGCCAATGAGTGGCTTATTATAGCAGCTCAGCAACATTATGCAGCAATGAAGTGAAGTCAGCTGAGTACCTGAATCTCCCGAATGGCCAGGTTATCCCAGCAATGGATTTTTCTTTTCCCAATCGCATGGGCATATTCCAGAACGATAATGCCAAGATTCATCAGGCTGGAATTGTCAAAGTGTGGTTCAGGGCGCATGAGGAATTATTTCCACGCATGATTTGGCCACCACAAAGTCTTGACCATAACCCTATTGAAAGTCTTTGAGATGTGCCGAAGAGGACTTTACTGAGTGGTTTGACTCGCCTATCATCAATACAAGATCTTGATGAAAAATGAACGCAAAATAGATTTACAAAATATTGAGATGTTGCACAAGCACATGGAAACGAATATGCACCATGATCAAAACTATAGGTGGTCCAACTAAATATAATTTTTTTTTTTTTTTTTGCCCAGGCAGTGTATATATTTTGCTTTCAAAGGGGGTTGGGCTTTCAGTTAACTTCAGAACCTCTAGAGTGTTTGTTTATTAATCTATTTTTCTGTATCTACCTACATCTATCACAGAAGGTCTTTTTCTTCTCATCTTTTAGATATATTACCGCTCAGTCAAATACTAGCCGAGATACTCTGTGAAATCACACTGCAAGACTCTCATTTTTTCTAAGAGTTTCCATATTGATTTTAGTAGCAGAAAGTCAGTTTTATTTACTCAGTATCTTGTACACAGTTTGATGGCTTCCCCTGTACTGTCTAGAATGTCTGAAGGAGATGTGGAAGGGCGATATGGGAACAAAGGGATCGGAGAGCGAGGAGGTTGCTAGTGAGCCGAAAGTGGAGATGCATGATGCCGGAGAACTTTGAGAAGGCATGGGACAAGCTGACTGACAGACAGGGAAATCATACCAAGCTCCTCCTTCCATCCTAAACATCAGCCATTTGCAGCCCAGGGGTGGCTGACCCTAATCCTAACCCAGGATCCCCTGGGTTGCTCTCTCGTGCCCTTGACGTAGCTGGTAAACCTGGATATGCACCGCTAGCAGCCTGTCCCAGGATCTCCTCCATGATCCATGTCAGATGAGATGTAGATCAGCCATCTGAAGGCTGGTAGCCTCCAAGGAGGTGTTCTGTGACCCTTCTTCTCTGCATGATGGGCTGCCGGCTGGACATCAGGTCTGGGGGACTCTGAAGCAGCAGTAAGTGTTAGTGGCAGTGTGCATGGTGCTCCACCAACCTTCTCAAGACGTTTTTAATGATCACCTAGTGGACAATTTTATAAACATTTGATAATATTTTTTCTTGTGCTCATGGAATGTGTACTACTTTATATTAAAGGCAATAATGAACATTCTTTGTTTAGTTACCACATGGTGGCGCCAAATTTTAAATTTTAAAAAGCCACGTTCACAAACGAACGAAACCGTCGCAGCCAGGTTTCTTGAAAATCGGTTCTTTATGAACTTCAAGTTTCAAGTGTATAACAAACGCTTTAGGTGACATCCTATTTTGGTTTTATCATCCTTGAATCAAAACAGTGTTTTCTGCTAACAAATTTGTTCCCTTCAATGCTTTTTTCAAACGCAGAAATGCCAAACAGCAAACTGTTAAATTTATTTGTTAGGCGTCTGAGAAATAACAACGATGAAGTAATGAGGAACCCTGAAAGTAATTAACAGATTGATGTGAGTGTAATGTTCTTTCCCAAAAGTGTTATTTTATGTACATGATACTCAAGTTCTCAGCTGAGTCGTTTTGGTTTCGTGATTTAAATGTTTTAGACAACAAAGCTTCAAAAGAGACTTATTGAAAAAGGTAAGGGAGAGTGATGTGACTATGATATGAAAAATCAGTTTTAAAATATGCTTGGAAGACAAAACTCTCCAGTGTAGCATTTTTAAGCCCCATCAGACAATTGTCCCATCAGGACTGAAATGTTAAAATGCATGCAGCTGTCTTTGGGAGAATGTTGAATTGCTGATGAGCTGATACAGACCAACACTGATGCGTTTAATATTTTTTGCCAGGAGAAAAGTATTGAAACTTAAATGAGCAATTTTCTCATTCCTCTGAGACGACGTGGCCCACTGTACCCCTGTAATGGTTTTGTTTTCCCACGAAAAGTTTGTTGCCTCCCCTTTCGTAACACTGTCTCACAACTGATGTCGCTGCCAATAAGAAACTGTAATGTCCTGTTAAAACCCAAGACTCAATATACGCTGCAATTGAATATTTTTGATTATTTGTTAGGAATATCTTATTTAGCTTTTTATTGCATTAAAATGTATTTTATTTACTGACATTTTGCTTATGTGGTTGTTTACAATGTCAAGTGCATTCAGGTCTGATTGTGAAATACACTAAAATGCATTATGCAAAGATGTCCAGTCATCTGAATTTATACTGCAATAGGAAACACAACATATAACAATGTACAGCTGTCAGCAAAACCCTGTCAAAGTGATCATTTATCCTAAACCTGGGGTCTTACGGGTACCTGTCTAAGGTCCCATTTACATTAAGCTCTGAGAGACTCAGCTGCACTACACCGTAATTAGTACCATATCGTTGATAAAGATGAGGGTAATAATTGGAAGTTTGTGATTATTCCAAATGTGTTTGCAAGCCTGCAGTACAGAACTTCTATGCATTTTGAATCATTTTTTTTTTCAAATCTAAGTTTTGTTTTCAGTATCAAATAGTCTTCTGTGCAGCAACGATGTAGATTAAGTGTAAAACAAAAACTCAAAGTCAAGTTGAACAAAGACATCTGCTAAATAGACTTTTAAGTCAAATTTGCATATTGGGTTTGTATTGGATCATGGTTTGTAACCAGTTACTCCTTGTTCATCTGTCACCACAATCTGCTGTGGTGGAAGTTCAGAGTAACATTCAGCATTTCTACATTGTGAAATACAGTCCAAAGGAAGAGAATTACTATTTCAAAATGTATTGGTAGGCTTATGGATGCACGAGAAAAGAAAACAATGAAACATTCACACTAAATTACCCATTCCTATGGCTTGTGCTGTTTTAAGCTGAATTTCACAGGTTGAGAATTTAACTAATGTAGGTTTGGAAATTTGCTTTTTAGGGTGGATGGTGTTACATTGAAAGATATTTTCAAATGGGCAAATGTTTGAAATCAAATAATGTGACTGTGTTTGGAAAACAAACCACAGGAGTGTAACTTCTTTGGACCGTTAACCTTCAGCATTTTTATATAAAAGTAATTTGTCAACCACAGTATCAAATATTGCCACTTTTTCCAACTGTGACACAAGGACATGCATCATGCTCTCAGTTACCAGCATCGTGCCTGAATTTGCGTCAGCTAAAGAGTTGACATTATGCTCTAAATGAGAATTTCACCTAACGATACAGTTTGTTGTTCCACGCCAGATAATGTCCTCTTTTTCTAAGTAATTCCATCCTCAGACGATATACCATTCAGTTCCAGTTTTGTATTGGAAGTCCATGCAGAATCAAAAGTCACTTTATGAATCTTCATTATTTTCTGATCTGAATGCCAGCGCAGACCACATGTTTTCCCAATAGTTTTTTTGTCTTTTGATGTATCCAGCACTGAAATCTGATTATGTTGCAATATTTAAATGAAACGTCCTTTTGTTCCTGTTTCTGATCGTCGGAGTTGCATGAAATCTTGGTGCTCTGTAAAGGTAACATACAGAGGTGATGGTGCAGTGCTTACTGGGAATCCTATTAGCCTGCCACCTACCAGTGTCATCTATAAACCAATGAACTAAAAAGAAATGTTGTTGGGTGTGGATTCCTGCAATAGGGTAGAGTGCGGATGGTTGCAACACGGGGTAGTTGCCATCATGGCTTATTCCTAAAATCGGGAATGAGCTGCAGTGATGATGTTCATACCGCACACGCTCAGTTAGCCCCTCCTCCTCCCTGGAAGAAGGCAGCCGCATATGATCATTCCGTCTGCAAAAAAAAAAAAAAACTTTTCAGGGAAAAAAAAAAGTATTTTTTATGATCTAAGAGTTAAGTAAACTTTCACAGCAGTATTATTCAATTTCCAATGTCTTGATTTCGAATTAAAAAATTGTAGTTCAAATCCATTGTAATAATTAACGAAAACACAAGTGTTATTTTTTACTCTAAAATGTTTTTCCTTTTACTAGTCTTTGTGTCGTTGTCTTTCTATGCCAATTTAACTTAGTGAAGAACCTGTCTGTGCACAAATAAAGTAAATAAATTGCAAAATGATGTTAAAGAATGATTTTATTACGTATTAATGAATGTTGCAACGGCCTCTGTGGACTGTTACTGTCCCCTATAATGGGGTCAGTTGCAACATTTGGTTTTATCTAAGTATACATTGTACGTATATTATCATGTGTACACATGTTACAGCACATTGGGTGAGTTGCTGACCGATGTGGGTTTATTGTATTAAAATTTTGTCTCTCCAATGCAAACAGTCTCTGAGAAACTGAAGGAAAAAAATGTTGCAACCGTCCCTCCTCTCCCCTAGTAAACATATTTGGTCCGGGCCATTCATTGTGTCATTAGTTCTCTTTACCTGAGCCCTCGCTAGCAAACGAATTATTTCAACGACGGAATGAATGGCTTTCGTTTTCAGAATTGAGGGTTTTGGCAGTTTAATGGCCTATAAAACCTGCAGACACGGCCGGCCATCTAAACCATGTCTGCGAACATTCAGCGTAATATATAACACGCTGCGTGAATTTAGTTTCTCACACTAAACGAACGAGTCCACCGATTTAAAGATGGATAGTTTAGTGATTCAGCTAACCTTTCCAGAATGACAGGTGTCTCAGCACCCTGCGTTAGCATGAACAAATCTGCGGATAGCCTCGTGTTGCTCAGCTCCCTCCAAACTTGGCTGTTCTTTTTCATTTTGCCTTTTGTGTGAATGTACTTCATTTTGTCGAACACTGTATCCAGGTTCGTGACTTCATTACAGTAACCAACTGGTGTGATGAGCCGGTGTCCGTGAACTTGGGTCAAGATGTTTATGGGCGTCGGCGAAAAAGGATTTCCACCGAATCCAGGGCAGGGGGCTGTGAGACACGAAAACATCCGAAGCCAATGATGCTCTGCGCCATCCTCGATTGCTTACTGTTTCTATTTGAAAGCACTTCACTTTATATGCCATAAAACTAAACATATTTTGCCAAAGCATTACATTTTTACCATCTATATCGTACTTTTATAACTGCTTTTAGAAGTACTCCACATCCAACTCTAATTCTTTCCTCAGTTCATTTTAATTTTAAAAAGATTTTGCTTTTTAATTTCCTTTCAAGACTGTTTTCCAAACGCCTCGGAGCCCCTTCTGCACGTGAACAAACGCTAAGGGTCCTCACACACACCTGGGGACAATTCCTCAAGGGAAGTCATCAATCACCTTTTATATGCTTCTCTGGAAAGCCCTCTCATTTTTTTCTTCCTTCTAATCGCTTGACCCATTCCCTTTCACTTAGAATAATTTCCTCCGCCGTTTTCCATCTGCGTCAATTTTAGTTCACGTGTAAGTCTTTATTTGATTGAATTTTGTTTCTGTGCTCTGGTTTTTATGTCTGGTAGTGCACTGTATGTCAGTTGTGTGAAGCTCTTAAAACCAAACGAGAAAGTAACTTCCAAGCTCAATACAATGGCGAGAAAGCTGCGATGATCCTGAAATGTATATAGATTATGTGATCTTCAAATTGCCCGCCAGTGGTGAAAGCTACACAGACAGCGGTATCCCCACTCTGGCCTCCGGCTGATCTGCAGCAGCTTGTGCTGCTTTACGTCAGGACGGGACGCCCCCTGGCGCGCTGGACCCGACTGAGGAGGATCCGCTGCTCAGCGATCACAGCGATCGCGGCTAAATAACTGCCCACTTGTTGCACCCCAGATGAACGCGCTGGACACGGGCGGAGTGTGACCACGCATTGCGACGCGCATGGTTAGTGCAAAATCTCAATCCTCTCAATCTCTTTCATCCGCCAGTCTCAGCCAGACCTACACACTACGTAACGGGAAAAGAAGAATAGACTTGAAAATTAAAACTGAAGGACAAGGCTATGACCATTTCAATTAGTCCCGATTAAGATATCAGGCCTCACATTGGGGGTCTTATAGGGACTACTTGAAGTAGCTTCCGGTTTGTACAAAACACGTAATGCATGGAGTACCTATTTGCAAGAATTGTGGGCAAAATGGAAAATAAATATCACGCGATGTTGTGCTGAATATGCTTGCATAAATTCGTACGACTCCGGCAGTGTCTGCTAATTATACCGACGTTTCCTAGGCTAAATAGGTTTAAACTGTACTTCAATGCTGTCACTTGTTAGATTAAGTGTGCATTTTTCTGAAGGCTTCCTGTTCTAATTTGTTAATAATTTGACAAGTAATATGCTAACATTTATACGAACACAATGGAAATAACAATATAATTTTATATTACACCCACGCAATGTCAGATATATAGGGAACAATTTTTTGGGTGCTAAATTTAAAGTTTTACAGCGAGCATCAAAAATGTTGATATTTTTACGAGTCTGCTTGAACTTGAAACAATGAAACGTTGTGTAGGTAACTAACTGAAGAGTCGATCGATCCAAAATATTAGTTTCCTGAGTGAGTCATTTATGATGCTTTTGTTTGAGACTTAAAACACATGATTAAACATTTGACCCTCATGGGTTTAATAAGCTCAGTGCAATCTCATTTTAAGAGGTTACGTATCCCAGTGTTTTGTTCTTTTTTATCAGTATTTTCTGTGTTTCGTCAGTTAATGAAAATGTTTTGTTCCCAGGGAGGATTTTTCCCCGAATATGTTACTGACATTAATCTGTCTATTAAAGGAGGGTTGGTGTAATTCAAAACTGTTAAATTATAACAATTTGACAGTAACAAACATCAACCTCAATATATAAGTAAATGCTATTTATTTCAAATAACACGTTATTTACAGTTATTTTAAAACTATCCGGAAATGATTATTTTTGTGACTGACAAACTGGAGATTGACAATGATCACTGGCGTTTAATATTTATAATTTTTGTATTTCACGATCATTCTTGTTTATCGTCCTGTTTGTATCGTATATATGTCATCTTTGTGGTTTTGATTAAGACATTGTTTTAACCTATCATATGTGTAAATAACGTTTTCAATTGTCTTAACCAGGACGGTATTTAATTTATATAAAATAATTAAATTAATAATTGTTACAAATTATAGGCTACTATGCATGTTTATATTCGAATATTGGTATTTTAAAAATCGCTTTAAACTACTAAATTGTGCTTCGT